GACCTTCGCAGAGGCCGAGGGGTCCCCACGCACCAAAGTGCAGACTTCTTGGCCGTCGCGTTTTGGCGTCCGTTCTGCGCACACAATTTCATTCTCTGACTAACTTCTCTGGCCAATCTGAGACCGGCCAGGGAGGGCTGCTAATTCGATCCGAGAAACACGGGGCGGGCATGGGCCAGGCGGCGTGGGGACGTGTCCCTCTAAACAACGGCCCAACTTGTTTTGGACCGATACCAACTAATTTGGAATCCTTTTTGCCGCCGCCCGCCCGCCCAGCTCCGCCACCACGTCTTAGATTGTGATGTCAGCCAATAACGCCTCCCCCCCCCTCTACCCTTCTCAATCTCCTCCTCCGCTTCACAAATTCACCACAGAACGTCCCACCTCCCCTCTCGCGTATTGGTTCTCGGATGACAAATGCCAGACGGTATTGCGCAACAAACAAAGGAGAGCGCGGTGGCGGCGCGGCGAGAGCCACAAAACCTGGGCGGGGAAGGAATCGAAGAAAACAGAACTATGTATTCCCCTTAAAAAAAATGTAATTTTTGTCTTGTTTAGTATGTGAACTAAAACATGTTATTCGCACAACCTTTTTCCCCCCTAAAACTGTCAGTCTAACTAAGTTTGTATGTTTTGTTTGTATGAATTTAAGCAATCGAATTATTCCTGCACAAATTTTTGAGTAGATTTGAACACAGCATCAATTTGTACGAATGCACGCATTTTTGCGCACAAGTTTTCCGAATCGAAACGTAGGCTTAACTTATCACTAACGTTTGCACAAAAACATACAAATACATTTAGCGCGTATAAGGAAGTCTACAAAAACAATCTTTTGCACTGACCGACATGAGTATCTTGGCGGCCCTGCGCGAGAAGAGCTGCGCCTCCTCGTTCCAGCGCACGTCCCGGAGCGCGCGCCGCAGCGGCCCCCACGAGCGGTACAGGTCCAGGAGCAGGTTCACCACCAGCACCGTCACGCCCGTCTCCTTAGCCAGCATGGACAGTGCGGCCAGCACCACCGACGTGCCGATGCGCCCGCCGAACCCGGGGCTGCAACACAGGTAAAGAACGGCGATGAGGCACCCGTCGAAAACAAAAAAAGCATGCATCCTGGAATCACAAAAAGAAAGACTCAATCCTAATCGGGAGATGACCTGCGCTCTGCGCTCCCGCAGCCAACCCCGGGCCGCCAGCCCAGCAACGCGCCTGCCATCCCGGGGGTAGGCAGACCCGCCGCACTCCCCGGCTCGACGGGCCGGCCGACCCGCAGGCGCCCCGCCGAGCGCCCCGCGGCCCAGGAGCCCGGCAAAGACCAAGGTCAGGCCTTCAACTGGCGCCAAAGGATATTTCGCTTATGTATACACTGTCAATTTTCTCCTCTTTTATGAGGGGAGGGGGAGGGAGGGATACCCACGGATTCGCTTTAAACCACTTTTGGCAATTCACAGTATGACATTTTCATTTTCGTGTTGTTGGGGTGCCCGACCGAAAGCCTTTCGATTGTGTATTTCTTTGAACACGTCCAGTGTGGCGTGGCAAAATAGTGGTCAGGGTTTGTCCAATGCACAGCCGTACTGAACGTGTAAGCGTGAGGGGCGTGGAGAGGAGGGCAATAAGGCTCTACGACGTTCCCTCCACATCACATAGTTTCACAACTTTCTGACCGTTTACAGGGAAATACGAAGCGGTTATTATGCAGGTGTAACAGCTCATATTGTCACAACCTCGCGAGCAGCAACAACGATTGCTTTTCTTAGCGTATATAAATTTTACGCACAAAAGGCGAGGCCACCCGGGAGGCAGCCTTTGAGCACTATCCCCCCACCTTTTCCCCCCTAGGCGCTGATGTGCGATTTGACATTTCTGCTAATGCGGGCCGAGCTAACCTTATTCTCAGTGATCCCCGAGCGGACTCCCCCCTCCGGGGGCAAAGAAGACAGATCCCGTCGCCCGACCCGCAAGCGTGCCATTTCAATCGGATCCATCCTGTGTGCTTGAGACTAGGACTGAGCCAGCGAGCCTCACCTCGCAGCAGGGAGATTCTTGCGGTGCTACTAAAAAGGGGTGGTTGCATGTATGCACATTCAGTTATGCCTCCTACTTCGTTGCGACCAACGCCGCGTCGGACGTGTTCATCGATCGTACTCCTCGTAAGCGTAAGAACCAATTGCCGCAATTTTGTCTAGCATACAGTATTAGGATTCTCGGCTTATAAAATTTGACCAAATATATGAATGTATACAAATTGCACACCGCCCTTCTATGAGAGCTTTGGATTTTAAAAAGCAATTCGTTTAATAACGATAACAAATAACGAAACTAACCGGGAAAATTTCGTAAAATGACGATAACTTCTGTAACGTATTTTAATATTAGGTCAAAAATCAACTAAACAATGCGAAAACCATGAGAGTATTTTGAGCCGCACCCCACAGGGGCGCTGGACGAAAGACGCAATAGTTACCGCAATGAATCAAAGCGCAGCAGACAGCCACCGCAAGCAGCCGGCCCCCGCAAACACTTAGTCATCGAGAGATTTTTCATCTTTTGCATGAATGTGCAAATCTGTCGACGCGGGGCAAAAGCGAAATGATCACCGGGACCCAGCAGAACTGCGGTAGTCATGATTTGAAACAGTAGAGTGGGGCGGAGCGGGTCATTGGACGGAGAGAGAGGGAAAGAGAGAGAGAGGGAGAGGAGGAGAGAGACCGTGATTACTTTGCGAGTTTGATAATGGCTTCTAGTGGACAGAAGTGCCATACTGTCTCCTTGTTGTGTTTGCAAGGGGGCGGGTGCCAGACAAGCAGAGGAAGGAGAGGGGGAGGGAGAGAAAGAGAGAGAGGGGGGAGGAGCATGACTCAGCTTGATCTGCTAGAAAACGCCCCGGGGCAGCCAAGCTTCAAATTGAGGTCCTCGAGGCTTGAGTGAAGGGAACCTCACATTTTCTCTGCTCCGACGATGAGACAGCCGGGAGGGACGACCTCCTCAGCAGACGTCTGACTGACTGGAGGCGCTCGGGGGAGATCAGGGGGAAAATGTGGCGGCAAAGATAACGCCGCCCGGTGCGGTGGGCGCGTGATTAGGCGGCAAAGCAGTCGTCGCATCAATAAGGAAACGTGGCAGTTATACACCTGTTGAAAATGATATCATACCATAACGCGTTAGTACAAGATGATGCGTGAACTGGTCTAAATGACAGTTATTGTAAAACAAATTTATGGCTTTCAACTTTTCCCTTTAGACTCTTGTGTTTAGCTTCTTAAAGTTTCCTTAATGCGAACAGTTTACTTACAGAAGAATACAAGATGTACGTTTCCAAAATCTTTCAAGTTATTGACACCCAATTGACTTTGAATTCTATAATAACTTCAATTTTGCACATTCGAACCTATACGACGGATTACGCATTGCATATAGATTTGTTTTAGCATAATGCACAAAATTTGTGAGAAAAATACATTTGTTTTTAGCTGGCTGAATGCCGTTGTTGCGAATGGCCGTCGGTAAATAATTCCAGCCCAAGGTGCGGCGCCAGCTCATCATTCATCTTTCTCGCGCTTTCAGGCAGAGGAGACGGTTAAGGGGGGGGGGGGTCTAAGACAGTAGGTCACCAGGCCGGGCGCGGGGAGAAGGGAAGAGGCGGTACAGAAGGAAAGGGATGGGGGGAAAAAAGCGGAATAGATTATGTTGATGCGCCTGGCACCTGGCCGCTGATCAGCGCGCATTAGGGAAGTAACTGCGTCAGTGCCAGACCCAGCGCCGCGACAAAGTGTCGTTAAATAAAAGAGAAGAATTAATGTGTCTTTCTGTGTTGTTGACCCCTATATAAACTTGAGTTTTTGACTAAATGCGAGATTTCTTGGAAATGTTTTTTTTTTTTTTTTACATTCTCAATTATTGGAAGTGTACTTACTCATGGTAGGAAAGGAAAGACAGAAGGAAAAAGACGCAGGCCAGCACATCTGCTCGTCCAACGATCCCCGTCACCTAGAAACAAATAACAGTAACATTCAACCACATGTTTCAAGTACTGAACTGGGGTCTTTAACACACAGTTTTTAAATAATACAAAATTTAGTTGGTATTTTTACAAGGGATCAAGAAGGGGATATAGATTGGAAGTACGCGCGTGGCGGAGCGTCGCAAATGAGGATTTTTGCCGGGAGGACGCTCGCCAAACAGGGGCTTAGCGCCGCGCTACGCCACGCCACGCCGAAATTAGGCCCTTCTTGTCGCCAATGTGAAAGGCTCGGCTTTATTGGGGCCGCCGCCGGTAGAGGGAGAGAGAGAGGGAGAGGTGGGGGGGGGGGGGGGGGAGGCCAATGTGAAAGGCTCGGCTTTATTGGGGCCGCCGCCGGTAGAGGGAGAGAGAGAGGGAGAGAGGGGGGGGGCAGAGTGAGAGAGTTCCCCACGCCAGCCACCCGACTAAATCCGAACAAATGAGCAATCTGCTTTGCTTTTCCACTGCTGTTGTTTTGGCGCCAAGTTTTGAAAATCCTTTTAATTTTTTTCATGTTTACTTTTTTCTTTCCTGCCCCTTTTTTTGGAGGACCTTTGTATGTTCCAGTTTGCTGCTGCGTTGTTTTGAGGAGGAAAGGGAGGATGGAGTGGCAGCGAATTCGAGTTTGACTGCGAGAGAGAGAGAGAGTTGGGGCGGGGGCTTATGCACTGCACAGCGGGAGGCACTGACTCTCATTGACTGCATGAGGGACAGTAACCATTATTAAAACCTCAAGTTCCATACTGGTGAAGAACAATTTTGTGCCAATTCATAGCCACATCTTAATCGGATGCGAATGTTTACGTGTAAACTAGATGCAGTGGACAGATAGCACTTGCGTCATTTACATTGGGTACAGGCATGTTTTCTAGCGAGCTCAGTTGGTTCTCCTCTCGTATCCAGTGGCCGAGTCGGCCGAGTCGTCGAGTCGGAGACGGCAGACAGCCTACCTGAAACGCGTCATCTTTTTATATTTGTCTCTCTAGTGTGTTCTCAATTGGGCGAATAAGAGATGTAGCGCTTGCCCGACGCTCGCTGCGTAAGAGTGAGACGGGAGATGGAGCTGGCAGCTGTCTCTGTCTCTCAAGTCACTCTCCCCAGCTCGTCGCTGAAGACGAGTCTGGCTTGCCCGGCGCGCCCAGCCGCACTAGGCGTCACCTGTCCCCGCAACGCCACCTCTCGCCCTGCTGGTCCAGCCGAGCGGGGGTCTGCGTGCGAAATCAGTGATCATTCGGACGCTGTCGAGCTCACGCGACATACCCGACAGTAGCTCCGGCGGTGGGGTCGGGTCGGGCGACACGGCGGCGAGCGTCGGGCAAGCGAAAAGAAGGCTAACTCGCCTGATCAAAAAAACAACTCTCTATAGCATGCGCCAACAATCTAAAAAAACACTAAAAGAAACATTCGTCTTTAAGCAAAGTGCAAAATTGTAACTTTTTCAAACAAATTTGCGTCTTTTTTTTATCGTTCTTTACCATTTAAAGTGGCCTGTGGCGCTGGTACCTGCTGGCAAAACTGTTGCACCTCGCTCCGCCATGCAAGTCCGCGTTGCATACAACTCGCCAGAGAGATTGGAAAGAGCAGAAAGGCACAATGCCTATACCGTGCTCCCGCGTGCTCCACTTTTTATACCTTCTGCTCTGCCGCCCCCTGCTCCCGCTAAGAAGCGTCCCCGCTCTTCCAGCTCCCTTGTGCTTACAGAGGCCACCGTGTTGATAACAAAAAAAATAAATACGATCGTTACCTCCCCGTCTCTAAAGCCTTCCGTCCGCCCGTCCGTTCGTCTGCTGCCGTTCTGCTGATAGTCGAGCTAGGTAATGGAAACGTCCCCGGCGTGCGAAGAAGGCGCTTCCTTAACACCTGGTCGTGACTGTCACGCCATGCCGCCAGCAGAGCGCCGGGTACACGGCGGCCGCGCTCGCTGACTAGGCTAGATTCTCTTCGGATATCCGACATGGCCCGGCCGTCACCGGGACGCGAGGGGGCGGTAATGGCAGGGGAGAGGGCGGGAGGAGGCTATTCCCGTCAAGCTGCGCGCGAGAGAGACCTGCCTTCCAGGCCAGGAGAGGCATCTGGTAGGAGGAAGAACCAGTGAGGTCAAAATAGACGAGTCCGACTTCTGTGAGGAGAAAATGTAGAACGCTTCACCGGGGGAAACACAAAGCTGCGCCTTTTAAAAAGAAGTTTTTATGTGAGGAGGGCGCACAAAAAAATCAGCACTCAATATTTCCCCAAACACTCCGGAGATTTTCATGATTTGGGGGAATTTTAGTTATTTTTGGAACAAAACTTTTTTTAGTGTTTATTTTGAAAGCTCTATCATTTTACAAGTCCAGAATCATGTCCGGAGAGCCAATCTTTTTGATAGGTTGTACGGAGAGTGACAGCTGAAATGGAAGAACGGGCCCCGCATCGCCCTCATCCTCCCGTGGCTGCTGCTTTAATCCTTCCAATAAGGCGAGAGAGGGACGCGAACGCAAGGCATTCACCTGGGTGTCGTGACACATGGAGGCACGGCTGCGACAGACCATCAGGGCGCCATAGAGGCGCGGACAAGGAGCGGAAAATGAGAATCGGATCGGAAAGGGAGGGATTGGGGAGGGGAGGCAAGGCACGTGAGAGCCCGCGGAACCGAAGGAAACCCGAAGGGGCACCCGAATGCAACCCGAAGGCGACCCGAACCGAAGGTGATTGACACGTTCGTTGCGGCGCGACGCGGACCTTAATATAAATGCAAATGTGAATGTCACAGTGAGGCACACGGTGAGTCACGCATCGGGTCGCTGCCTCCCGCTCCGCTCCGCCCCGCCTCACCCTGCCCCACCACGACAACCACAAGTCACGCCGAAAAACGATAGGTTCCGGCACTAGCTGTATAATCTTCCCTCACCTACAACTTTTTTTTTTAATTTAAGACATTAAACATTGAAATACTATCTATGGCGGCAAAAGCGCTGGTGTCCGAACTCCAGGCGGGTAGGGGGCGGTCTGAACTGGTCCGCGACAAGTGCCTGAAGAATTGCGGGCAAAGATGTATGAACGCGCAGCGCAGAAATAAAATGGAAAGGACTGGATAACAACCCTGCCAGCCAGCCAGGAGGAGAAATCACGCCACAAGGGAAAGAGAAATGTAGAGAGACAGAGAGAGATGGGGATGAGGGGAGGGGGGGGGATAAAGCGAAAGGGAGAGAAAGAGCTAAAGAGAAAGGGCGAGTAAGCCCGTGTGCCACAGTTTGTGAGCAAAGCGAGCGACTGGGTCGGATAGACACCGAAAGATTGCCAACACTTCGTGTTGAGCATCAATTCAATACGTTCAACTATTTCTCTCCGGATCGGCTACCCTCCCCCTTCCCGCGCCACCACCTTCATATCCCTGTGGAACATCTCCAGAAAACCCATTTGCCAGATGAAAAAAGTTGTCTTCCGGCTCCGCTTGTAGCTCATCGAGGAGACCTGCTCGCCCAGGTGCGCGGCGCAACGCTCGCTGCTGCCTGGTGCGCTTCCCGGTCGTCGGCTGCAGTCGGCCATCTATCAGTGACCGACGGTGATTATAGGCACGGGAAAACTCGGGCAGCGACGCCAACTTCCGACACGGTCATGACGTAGTGCAGCAGCGGGGGCGTTACCGGGGGGGTATTGACGGGCGGGGTGAAGCGCGCGGGCGGTATCGAGTATCTCTCACGTCTGCGTGCACTCATTACGGGTCGGAGAGAGAGAGAGAGAGAGAGAGAGAGAGAGAGAGAGAGAGAGAGAGCAGCAGCAGCAGCATAAATCTTAGGGGGCACAACTTTGGCCATAGCCGGTGGTGCGGCGGCAGATTGACGAAGAGGTTATGGCTACGGAAAGTGCTGAAAGTTAATGAGCACCCCGAGGACAATAGGCCTCCAGGCTCACTCTTCACCGACAGCGAGAAAGAGTGAGATAGAGAGGGGGGAGGGGGTGGGGGTGAATCATCTGCGGCAAAATTGACGAAAACGAGCGGAAAAATAAACAAATACAAAGGTGGAAGCTGTGAACATTTTCGTGTTGCAACTTAATTGATCGAGGCGAAGATGTGTTTTTGTTAGCAAATGTGCCATGTGCGTGTGCCGTACTCTTATTGTCAATGGAAGTTGAAGTAATTTGTCTCCTCAATCATAATACAAAAGCTCGGCGGCCAAAACGAAGAGACGGCTCGGACTCATATTTCATAAAAAAAGAGCGAAATCATCGCTCACGCACACACGTACGCACACACACACACACACACATACATACATACATACATACGAGGAGCTCCAAAAGCGTTGCCCCTGGCTCGCTCTGTCGAACGCATGAAGAAGATTCGCGGAAAATTGGACAGTAACACAATTTGGGCCGCTGAGTTATGAGTTGCTTACACGGGGCTCCACTGGCGGAACTATAAACACTCGTCTCGCCGCGTCCCGCCTCGCTCTACACGTTACGGTGCATCGCCGCGGGAATAACCCTGCGCTTCAGCTTCACGGCCCTCTCTTCTGTGTTTCTGCCTCTCTCTCTCTCATTCTGCGTGCGTGCATGTGTGTGTGCGCGTGCGTGTGTTGGATGTACGCTGAATACACAATAGAGTCCGCGTGGCCACTTTTCAAATGCAGGAGCTACTATGCACACACACACACACAAATGCGAAAGGGAAGTGCGAGAGGGCGCACGGGATATCACTATTCTTGACACAGAAAAAATATATAGAAAGAGGCTTTCTTTGTCTCTTTGAAGTAGTCCACGCTACGGTTGACTCAACTCACAACATTTTCCGATTTTAAAAAAAATTACAATACTATTTACGTGGAGTGTCCCGACTGCTGCTGCCCTGGTCGGATTTACTGGCTGTAATAGCAGGTGCGCGCAGAGCTCCGTGCGTAGCTCCCCCTTAATTTTTCAAGGTCCAAACTTCACAAATTGGCTCATTTGTCAAAGAAGGCTGCTCGAGTAAAGAATCGCTCCTGCTACAGCTCTTTCGGAGTTCAAA